TAGTAATCGCAAGTTATTGATAGTAAACGCAAGTTACTGATAGTAATCGCAAGTTACTGATAGTAAATCCCTTGTTACTAATAGCAATTGCAAGTTACTGATAGTAAATCCTTGTTACTGATAGTAAACGCAAGTTGCTGATAGTAGTCGCAAGTTACTGATAGTAATCGCAAGTTACTGATAGTAATCGCAAGTTATTGATAGTAAACGCAAGTTACTGATAGTAATCGCAAGTTACTGATAGTAAATCCCTTGTTACTAATAGCAATTGCAAGTTACTGATAGTAAATCCCTTGTTACTGATAGTAAACGCAAGTTGCTGATAGTAGTCGCAAGTTACTGATAGTAATCGCAAGTTACTGATAGTAAATCGCTTTTTACTGGTATCGTGAAATTATCTGATAGTTGTAGCTTAGAGTCGAATTGGACTTTTTCGTATGCTCAAGTGTTTTCCTTGATTGTTACTGTATTTAGCATAGACGAATGCGTTGATTGAAAGGCCTATTACAACGATTTTATTCGCTTGAAAGATCTGTTATAACGATTTTATTCGCTAGAAAGATCTGTTATAACGATTTTATTCGCTAGAAAGATCTGTTATAACGATTTTATTCGCTAGAAAGATCTGTTATAACGATTTTATTCGCTAGAAAGATCTGTTATAACGATTTTATTCGCTAGAAAGATCTGTTATAACGATTTTATTCGCTAGAAAGATCTGTTATAACGATTTTATTCGCTAGAAAGATCTGTTATAACGATTTTATTCGCTAGAAACCACAACAAATAGACATACACTGATAATTTCATAGTCAGATGAAGAAAATCAATAAATTGATAAAAAAACTTAAAAGATTTAAATAAACTGAATTAAATGAATGTAGGAGAGAAGCCCAAAACCACTAACTTACTAATACAAAAAATTCATCAAAGACAAAGGATTTAAATCCTTATCCATTGAGCATTGACTTACAACAAACACATGATTAAAGAGCTATCAGATGATCTTTGCTCTTTATTTAGTAAGAGATGGGTTTTAATATTGTTAGCTTCTAATCTCATAAGAATGACTATTGGATTAGAAAATTTTTACAATATTTCAACATTTCAAGCAAATTTGGTTTACAACAAAGCCAATATTAAATAATACACTTTTGTTAATTACTGAAATTTTCTTGACAAGCAGATAAGTTCAGCTACAATGGGAAGATATGAGTGTTGAGTGAAGCAAATGATTGCTTACATGAAATGCAATTTGAAAAAAAAAAAAGTTTTATATTACTTTAAAAAAAAATGTTCAATTAAAACAAATTTTAGTATTATAAATTGATGCAATTTTATTTGATATATTTTGTGTTCATAACAACTGATAGTAAATTTACATATTACTGAACAAATTTCTCACTGAAATTACATACACTGAACATCTATGCAGTTCAATATTTCCGGAAGAAATTGGCATTACGGAAAATACTATTACGGAAGAAAGAAGTGACCAGCACTACTGTGACTAAGTTATTATTTATTATCTGATATCATTGCATACAATTCCTATTTTTGCATTTTGCTAAGAAAGAAAGGAGTCACATTCTTATGACTCCCTGATATAGCAGTACTATTTCTCCGCATGAATTTTCTCTCTTATCCATCATTTATTGTTATTTCGTGATTTAACCGAATACTCTCTTACATTCTCTCTATGTTTCACCTCTCCATACATTCTCATAATGTATTATTCTTGTTGTTGCAAGTACGGCCAGTAATAGATTACTTGGCTTTTAGCATCAATAGCTACCAGGCTTGGCCTTTCTTCCTGTCTTCTAAGTAATTTGCCTCATTTTGATCCTTTCTTGTTTTTCTCTGAAAGAGAGAAAGAAAGCTTTTTGGTGACAATATTTCATTTATGTTTCATTTTTTTGTGGTATTTCACTGCTTTTTGGTACCAATACTTAATCATTGGAATGAATTTTGGATAAAATTGTTTAATTATTAATGCTTCGAATATGATTTGATTAATGAAACTGTGATTGCTTTAATTAATCAATGATGAATTGATGTGCTTTCAACTATTTGTTGGTAACAATTTTTGCATTCTTTTATTAATTGTTATTTGTAAAATAATTCATTTTAGCATTGACAATCAGATAATGTTTGATAGCTGTTTTCCACCATTACGAATGTGTCTGGAATGTGTACAAGGACCAAGTTTTTCAGTAACTCAAAACAGTTCACATTCTCAAAATGAACAACATTCTGTGAGATTAGATACAGTGTTCATGGGTTAGTCATGTATTCTTTGTTATTGTTAGTTAGTTAGTTATTCAAAATATTTGTCATTGAAGTCACTAGTGATAGTTACTAGTGATAATAGTTAATTCTTGCAGTTAGTAATTAAAGAACATTGGCAGTTAAATACATGTTTACTATTTTAAATCAGTGTTAAAGTAAAATGCAGTATAACTTCACTGAAAAATAGCTTTCTTTGTATAAAAGCATTTGGCAGCAAGTTATTGTATTTGTAATTATTATTATCATTAACCAGAATTTAATTGGTATAAGGTATTAATCTTTGATGTCTATATCTTGCATTAGAAAAAGAAATGCATCGATGCAAAATAATAATGGATTTAAAAAGTTTAAAAAAACGTAGATGATGAATTGTTCAACTATGACAAAGAACATTAGCCAAGGCATAAGAAATATGGCTGTGTTTGAAGTTGCAACTATAGATTTACGTCTTCACTACGCATTTTTCTTCAAAATGACCGTCGACTTTAATCTCTTTTTAAGCTTCTAAAGTCTCTATTTGTGCTGAAATTTTTGGTCGATGTCTAAGCCTGATAAATGATTTTTAAATTTTATAACCTTTCATACGCTATGACTTTAGGTGATGATGTGGTACTGCTGAAAAACGGTCAGCGAATTTGCGGTTCAGGTGCGGCTTTGAGTACGGCTCCGATCGTGCAAAATAAAGCTTATTTCCAAGTCACTATTCAACAGACTGATATGTTTTTTTTTTTTTTTTTTTTTGAACATTTGTTTTCTTGTCTTCGTTTCTTAAAATCTTTGTGCGCTTTTGACTTCCTTATTTCTACTTTTAGTTTACAAAATCACTAGTTAAGGTAAAACTTGAAGCATTTTTAATAACTATTAATTTATATGTTTTTTGATTTTGTGAATTTGAAATGAGATTTAATATCTGATTGTCATATTTTCAAACACATTTGGACAATCACTTACTTTTTGTTTTTTGTTAAAAACAATGCATTTTTTTACAAACTAGATTTAACTAGAGAACTAATTTTAGGTTTTTGATCCATGTTTGTGTTTTTCTTGTGAAGGATTTTAGCTTACGAAAGAAATTAAATAAATTTTTTTTAGGTATATGGGGCATTGGATTAGCGACACGGTCTGCAATTTTGAATTCAGTACCAGTAACTGCAAACTGTTGGGTTTTGAGACAGGATGGGCAAGTAGTGGCTAATGGTGAAGTGTTGGGAAAGCTAGATGAACCGATCGATGAGAGTGACTGCATTGTATGTCTTTTTTCATTATTTTTGTTGAAATACTAAATTTCACTTTTAATAATTATTCTTTTTGCGAGGTTTAATAAAGAAATTTTAGGGCGTTGCATTTGATCATGTGGAACTTAAATTTTACAAAAATGGTGTATTGTTGCCATTATCAATCTCTAACGTTAAAGGGCAAGTAAGTAGTTTTTTTTTTTTTGCGAAATGTATATACAACCATAAAAAATGTATATACACCTGTTTATCGGTTTGCACAAAATTACTTGGCGGCATTCTCTTCTGTGATGAAATGAATTGTATTTCACATATTTATTAATTGGAAATTATTTACGCCGAATAATCTTTTAATGAAAGATCTGTTGAAAGAATTTGCTGTGGGAGCCATATCAGTTTCAATTTTTTTCATATTAGAATTTAAATGTTGGATGTATTGCAGGTTTATCCTATAATTTATGTTGGTGATAATGCAATTTTGGACGTTGCATTTCGATCGTTTTCGTATAATGCTCCTGTGGGATATGAGGAAATCATGCTGGAGCAGACTATCCTTTGAAAAGAATATATTATATCTGGATCCGGTTTCTTTCGTGTGATATATAACTTTCGGGGAGAGAAGCAAACATAAATTAAACTTAAATTGAACTTTTATCTCTTTTCACTGTCATAAATGATCCTGATTCTATCCTTCACTAATCAGTTTGTTTTATATGAATTTTTATCCCAGCTATTTTTATTTATAAATCCAGACAGTGTGTTTGTACTGGCATTTCTTTTCATATACAAAGTCATTTATATTTCTTTACTTAAAAATATGGAGATATATTGGTTCAACAAAAACTATGCATTAAAGAATAGAGAAGTCTCCAGCGTTTATTTGCCTTTATTTTGATAAAACTTCTCAAATGCAGGACTTTTTCTACATTTAGTCTGAATTTTGCAGAAATCAGTAAAAAGTCTCACAATAATATATGCTGTTATATGATCGATCTTGTAGCTGGGCGTAATTGATACCTGCGGTTCAGAGCCTTAAAGGACTATTGATTCATCTCTGAAAAAGTAAACTTAGACATCCAAATCAAGCACTAGAAAATTTTGTCAAGTCAAGAAGTGGAAAATTGTGATATGTCTTGCTACATATGCTTTGCAAATAGTACTTGTTGTGCAAATAATGCTAAATTTTGTATAGTTTTCATAATATATCGACTATTAATCACATTTTTCTCGCTTATTATATATATGTCATTTATTTGTTTACTAATATTTCTTTTGCGATATAAAGTTCTAATTTTCTGTTCTGTTTTTCATTTTAATCGTTACGGATTCTACATTATATCATCGACTTTTGCCGTACATATGATATGATTATACGGCGGATGGACAAATAATTACGATACAGTAGAATGGAGTATTATATTTTTTGTGTAACTTGATTAACTATTAAAATAATGATGTTAATTTTCAGGTTGCTAAATGTTATTAATTCATCAGCGACTCGCCTTTTTATTAGTGCAAACAGTAAAAAGATGTGCTTCTGTAAGAGGAATTGCGGTTGGTATTTCATTATTCAATTTCTCGTTTTTTTAGTTTTACACTTTTTTTTTTTGTATTGTGAACAATCTAGGGAAAACACTACTGATTTCATTGTCCATTCCATTCCTGTCTACATCCAGCAATTTGCACCATTTTATAGTGCATCGAATTATTCGGCTGTAAATTTCGTATCTTCCACATTCTATTTATATATCCTTTTTATTCTTTTCTAGTAATTTCTTCAAATTCCGTTTCTAATTTATTCGCTAAAGTTTAAAATTTATAATTTTATTACTGAAGAGAAGTTGAAGTGAATGCAATCTTTCATCATAAAGATTGGTCACTAAAAATGCAATAAAAATATAAACTTCAAATTTATTCCCCTTTTTTACTTATTGAATTATTTGTTATTGTAATGTGTTCATTCATTCATTCATTCGAGTTTTCTTTTCAGAGTACAGTTCGACCGCAGCGAAAAATGAAAGTAACGGTGATACCAGGTGATGGCGTTGGTGCAGAACTTACTCATGCAGTGCAAAAAATTGTGCAAAGCACAGGAATACCATTAGAATTTGAAGAAGTTTTCTTGAGGTTACTCGTCATTTGAATTGGTGAAAAATTAACAAAATTAATGCTGATAGAGTTTAGTTTTTAATGGTTTTAATTTTTAATTATTTATTATTAAATTAATTGAGATAAGCTGAGCACATTAGATTATCCTTTCTCGTGTAATTAACTTAGAAGACGTTTATCCTTTGTTAATTTCCCAGTGGAATTTTCATGTCTAGTATTATTTAATAAATGTTTATGATTTAAATTAAGGCTAAAAGTAGGAGTTAATGCCACGCAGTCTTTTCATGACTATAGTAGACATGCAGGAGTAGGAGACCAAATAATGGCGAAATATTCGCTTTTCTTATTGCCATATATATTATTATTTACATGTATTGGACATGTGTACAATTCTTTTTTTGGAACATATCTTCTTTCTTTTGCAGCGAAATTGAACACTCATGTTCAGCAAGCCTTGAGGATGTTATTAAAATTGTTAGAAAAAATAATAATGTGGCACTGAAAGGTGCAATTAAAGAAGCAGACGAAACAGTTAGCGATAGAGAAGATATCAATAGGTCATTGAAAAAAGGTCTTGATCTTTTTGCCGGTGTTTCAAATATTAAAGTTAGTATATATTTCAAATGTTATTTTAAAATTTTGCATTTTAGTTTTAGTTTTGAAAGTTATTCGAGTTCTACGATATCAGTTATTTAGTGAATGCTTATTTATTATTACTATCATGAAGTTTTAATGTCAGTACATCAGTACATAGTTCTTTAATTACATTGCATTTACATTGCTTTTATACTTAGTTGTCTCATTATTTACTCGACGATATACTAATTGATCTTTTTAATACTTTTTTTTCTTAATATTAAGAATTGCATAAAACGTCTTTTTATGTAGTTTTTTTTTCAAATTTTTTAGAGTTTAAATGGAATCAAAACACGTCATCAAAAAAATCTGGACTTCGTTATTATTCGTGAGCAAACAGAAGGAGAATATTCATCGTTAGAACACGAGCTGGTACCTGGTGTTGTTGAATGTCTCAAAATTTCCACAGAAGAGAAGTCGTATCGGATAGCGAAATTCGCTTTTGATTATGCTACGAAATTTGGTCGACATAAAGTTACAGCCATACATAAAGCGAATATCATGAAATTGGGTGACGGACTGTTTCTGCGAACTTGCGAAGAAGTTAGTTTACTAAATTGTTAAGTATAAAATTGCTATGTATTACCTATGTATTGTTTTCATATTTCTTGAAACTAATATTAAAAATAATTGAATAGCGCTGTTAAAGTTTAATTATTCTTGATAAATTTGTATATTAACAAAGCTGCTTTTCCGTTTATTTGGAATCCGAACTTTTTTTCAAAATATTTTAAAACTTTAAGTGAAATCATAGGTTCTGATGTTAGTTTTTTTACAAAACTTAATTATTTGCAAGTGCTTATGAAGCGTAAGATTCTCATAATTTGTATATTTTAAATTATATCAAACTTGATAACAGTGAATTTCAGGTCTCAAAATTATATCCAAATATCAAGTTTGAATCAATGATTATCGATAATTGTTGCATGCAATTGGTATCTCGACCTGAGCAGTTTGATGTGATGGTTATGCCTAATCTCTATGGTAATATTGTTGGTAATTTGGGAGCCGGTTTAGTTGGTGGTGCTGGAGTTGTTGCAGGACGTTCAATTGGATCGGATGCAGTTATTTTCGAACCAGGTGCACGTCATGCCTATCAACAGGCATTTGGGAAGTGTGTTATATTAATCTTTTTGAGTTTTTTTTTTTATGTCTTATTTATAATAGTGCTCTTTCCAAATATTTATAAATTTCAGTAATTATTGTTTCTATATTTCAGGTTTCTTTGCTCAATTCCCACTGGCTTATATATTTTGTTGAATTATTTTCATTTATATCGCTGATTTATTGCTTCTTTCAGACAAATTGCAAATCCAACTGCAATGATTTTGTGCTGTGCGGATTTATTACAACATTTGCGATTGCAAAAATATGGTGCTGCTCTTCGATCAGCTACTGAGGCTGTTGTTGCCGAAGGCAAAATAAGAACTCGCGATCTTGGCGGTTCTTCATCAACGTTAGAATTCACCGATGCTGTAATTCAAAAGTACACTTTATGAGGATTTCATGGTTGTACTTACTGTTGAGTACATACCTCAAGGTTTTTCAGCATAATACGAAAATATTTCTCTATTTGCTCATTGATAGATGAGATGAGTTTTTTTTTTTTAATATGTCCGGGCAAGAATTTTTTTTGGTTGACATTCTGTACTTATACTTTGTAATAATTTCATTGAGATCGCTTTATCCAATTAGTACAACTAACATGTTTTAATAGTTTCGTTTTTGAAAATTTCCATATATTATATGGAAATATGTAAGTATACCTTCCTCTTTGTATTCATTTAATCACAGAAAGTTGCCTGTAATCGTCAATTTGTCTTTCATTCATGCCATGTAAATGATTGAAATAGCAACACTTTTGATATTTCTTAATATTTTTTAATTGTCTCACTGATAAATTGACGGTTATAGCGTTCTTTTTCGAATCCCAACTATTTATTTCTTCCTTTAGGAATATTTTTTTGTGTCAAACTTTCTACTTAGTAGAAAAAATATATATCATTTTGTAATTTATTTAATTTCGAGCACGAAATTTTGTAATATGTACATTGATATATGCTGAAATGTGATAAATTTGGAGAAAATTCGATTTTACTGATAGCAGGAGAAAGCAACTTCTAGTATAACATCTTCAAAACATTACAAAAATATCTTGCAATGCAGTGAATCGAAGAAAAGATCTGAAATTAATTTTTAAAAACTGCAGGAAAGGAATGAAATATCAGATCGAAAGCTTATCACATATCACTCCATTTCAACAGTGCTAGAGCATTTTTTGACACTGTTGTGTTAAAATCGAAAATCAAAAATTGATCTTTTGTCCGCAAAAAAAGTGTCATCCCTATCATATGCTGCCTCTCTCACTACAGAGGAACGAAATTGCTTTGATATGGGGTTGTTTTGAATTTCACTCAAAATTTGCAACATTTTCTACCTAGTACATATGGAGTTATTTTCATTGCTTAATGATTAATGATTGTGCTAATATCAAATGAATTTGATAAAAGATAAAATTAGAGGAAATTTCTGAACTTAAGTTCAGATTAATACATAAACTTTGATGAGTTGCAGGAACTTATTTTCATCAAATATCATCCGGATATGAGCATTTCGCATATTACACGATTATCATTATCATTATCATTGTCATTCAAATATGTTCTCTTCCAGTTTTCCATTCTATATTGCAGGCTAAACTTCGATTAACATTTCCTGTCAGGTATTTCTATTAAAATTATTTTGAAAAAAGAAAAAAGATTTTAGAAAAAAGAAATAGTATCACAAAAATTAGACAAAGTATTGCGGGTAATTTTCATGGGTAAGTAAAGCTATGAACGGATAAATACCCTGAGACGAATGATTTTCATAGGTGATGTTTGTTTTTAGACGTGATTCAGTGTGTAATTTGTATTTTGTACTTACTTTATTGGCAGGTAATCTTTCTAGTAGAGGGGGAAATTTTGGATATTATGAAAGCAGTATTACTATTTTTTGTTATTTTCATTTGTATGAAGTTGGAATTTAATTACAAATATTGAATTAGTGGAATGCAAATTGATTGACAAATTATAATATAGAATAACATATATGGCATAAAACTTATTAAAAATATCAAAATTGCGGTGCTTTATGTTATATACGTATTAACAAAATTTTGTTAAACTTCATACTTTATTTAGGTAGGTTAACTGATGAGCGACTAATTAACGATCGTTCATTGATTGCAACAAGTATCATACACGACGGTATATGAATGTCATTTGCGGAAGTAGAGGAAAACGCCGCATCATCTACAACAAATAGTGAAGAATTTGAAGATGCTCAAGATGAGTTACGACCGCTTCCGGAACGTTCCACATTGATAGTTGGTACCGGCCGTGGCAGTAATCATCCGTCACGACGTGATGATTTATCGATCGAAAGTGCAGTAAGTGATGCGGTGATCAGCAACATAACACAGTCTGGAAATAATCCAGCTTCACCTATTTCTTCATCGTCAAAAGTAAATGATTTATCATTTTATGACCAAATTTCATTTTAACGTTTGAATAATTATAATCAGTAAAATATTCAAAACATACGCCTCATGATATTTACTTCTTATTTATGGACATCGTATATTCATTTGCTGGTCAAAATTTTTTTATAAAAATAAACTTTTGTAAGATTTTTGCCAAAAGCTTAAAAAAAATAAAGATAATCCTCTCATGTTTATATATAGCAGGATTTCATTTTGATTCCTTTTTTTTATAAAATTATATCCTAAATTTTAGTTCATCAGTTATATCCATTGTTGTTTCTCTCATCTTGTTTTCTATTCTCTTGTTTCAGGATGGTGTAATAGCAGATCGTCGATACCGTTTAGATGCTTTACGGAATCGGATGACAAATGAATTTGGATCAGGACATAATTTGCTGAACATTGGCGGTGGTAGCTGTTACACCGATGACGACGCTGGTTCAGTTAGTGAAAGTGCCTCTTTGGCATCCTGGGGACGTAATCTGCTTATACAAGCTCCGTATACAAAGATGAAATTGGTGTATCCGGCTGATACAATAAGCACGAAGGCTTTTTCCAGCCATCAAAATCTAAGCAGGTAAAATTATCAATGTGAAATGAATGTGGGTAGAGTTTGATTTCGATCATATTTAACCTTCTTCTAAAGAATCGAGTATAGCAATCTATAAAATCGCGAGATCAAAAAGTATTTTATTTTTTCTTCTTAGATAGTTCTAATCTGGCCTTAGTAGTCTTAACAGAGTGCTATGTTTTGCCCGAAAGTTTGGTAAAATAATTTTCAGCGGAACGGACTCGTTCTCGCAAAACGCTAATTCCGATAATAGCAATGGATCGCCGAATGCGGAGTCAGCACCACCACCTTGTTCTCCAACATCATCATTAACGAAAATTCCGAGCGATAATATTTCCTTTGGTGTGAAGCTCCCACCTCCTAGTAGTATTCCTCCGCCACTACCACCAAGAAAGCCGTGCGGAAGACTCCCTAATGCCCTTTCACCTCAGCAAGTGGATTCACTTATAGGAAAACGGTATGTCCAAGTTTTTCTCTTACACCGAGCTGTTGTTATTTATAGCATACTTCAGAGAAACTCTCTGAGTTTCCTACGTTTCAAATTTTAAAATGATTATTCTGGAAAATTTTCTAGAATATCACCAACGAAAGAAGTGGACGAAGCAAAGATTGATACAGCCAATTTATCATTACATACGTACGTTTACTGATTTCGTTTTCCTGTTATAGTTTTGTGAAATATGTGAAATATTTGCGTAATTATATTCTTTAGGCTTAAAGTTTTTTTTTTTTTTTTTTTGCTGCTAATCACTGCAGTGCTAATTCGAAGATTAGTGAGTTTCATAGGATACAATTTTCGAATGCTCGACACAAATCATGGAATTTTTGTTTCAAAATCCTAGTTTAAATAAAGTTGATTTGGAATAAAGATTTACAGCATCAAGTCAGACAAACCATTTAAAAAGGATTCTGTTTCAATGGTTGATGGTTTTGCCCGATTGCGTGGACATGCAAAGACAAATTCGCTGGATCGTGGGTTAAGTTTGGCAAAAAGCATGAAATCAGGTCCATTTCCACCACGTAGTGACAAAAGTAATTCCCTAAAACGTGAATATTTTACTGATTCTCCATGCAGCTCACCCTATTTATCTTTCGATGGAGGAGAAGAAGATCTAAGGAACAGCGATGCTCAGGGCGTTATTCATCAAATCACCTCTTCAATACTCAATGAACCACTAAAGTAAGTTAATTTGCTAAATGTTTACTAAATCATAGTTATGAATACTGTTTGAAAGTTTTCCTACTTATTTGTGAGCATGGGTACTTTCAATTACTCGCTGCTGAGAATATCTTAAAGCTTTATTTATATCAAAGTCATCCTGCATAAAATTAGTAAGATTGCATTTAGTGGAAGTTTGCATGAAGCAGAGTGCATTAGTCTCATATATATAAATCATAGGCCCACAAGAATAATCTGATGATATGGGCAACCAAATTTTCCTTTTTTTACTGAATGCCATTCATTAAAATGCATAGGTTTATATGTTTTGTGGGATTTCCATACTCGCATTTATAACTCATCTAACAAGTTGATTAAAAAAATTTGAGCACTTTTTCACAGGAAACTCTTGTGGAAATTAAAATTCTTTAACCAGTTTAGCAAATGATTATTCTTAAGTAATCTTTCCGGTTATTTCAGAGAAGAAATATTAACATTGGAATCACCTGTGCGTGATGTTTCAAGTGGTCGTTTATCATCAGTTGGAGAAGAATTTTCTACCACCTCTTCAATTTCCACTTCCTCTCCAAAAAGATCAATTTTAAACGATGGCAGGGTAACTGATGATGCTTCTCAGGACAAATTATATAAATTACAAATTACAATCCCAAAGTCTACCTGCCATTCAAAAATGGTTAATGCTCTTATTTATCTTATTTTAATTCTGCTGAATGCTTGCAACATCTAAAGGAATCGGTTCTTAATGACCATTTAAAATTTGAGTATTTCATCATCATGCAATTATCCTGAAATGAAATTTTTAAACTTTTTAGTATACGTTTTCGTTACAGGATTCAGATTCGTCATCGAAAGATCTTGCGGTTACAGAACATTCGGAACCATTATCGGAGCAAGTTTCCATAGGAGACAACTGTACCGCACAAAGTGCTCAAACCGAATATTCAGATCCAATAACTCGTGATGTGGAAAGACGTATGAGTATGAAAGGACACCAGCAGACTTCTGGAGAGTTAGTTTTTGATTCTGAGTTTATGATACCGAACGTAGTAATATTTACTAGAAACTAATGTTTACTTGGGAATATGTAGTGATTCATAGAAAACTTTCCAGTTTGGTTGCAGGTTGGAAGATAATCCTTCTTCACATGCAGCTCCATCGTCGAACAGTTTTGGACGAGCAGCGGAATTCGTTAAAGGATATGGAACCTATGCATCTGAGCTTTTTCGTGGTGCTTTTTTGCGAGCAAAAAGTGTCGTATCTTCAGGGTAATTGATTTTCTTAAAATGTTACGTTTAACCATAATACACGTTTAACCATGTTCTATTTTAATGGCTACTGTTTGAGATCAACATCAAAATTCCCTAAAGAAGACGATGAAAGTTGTAATGAAAGTGATCGTGAAGATTCTTCCATAGCTGAGGGTACTCCAATTGTGCGGCCAAGGAATTCCAAGAAAGGACCATTTGATTTTGATGGCACACGCTGCTACCAAGAGCTTAACAACGAGCATACGGTTGGATTTCTCATTCATCTAAATAGATTTTGTTTTAATATATTTGTTTTAAACAAAAAAAAATCTATCATCTTCTTTTCTTTTCATCTTACTAGGTATTCTTTTGATTAGTTTAGCTTATCTTTAGTTATTTCAAATATCTTTCATGAAATCTATCATGAAATTATTCATTTAGAAGCGGAATTTATTTGGTTTTTAAAATGATGAAAGATTGTTTCATTATCTGTTATTGTCCGATTGTTTGTTCTGTTGTAAAATCAAGAAATCCTAAATAATTATGATTTCGTTAAATTACTTGGAGATTGGTAGAGTTTAAAGAGGATTAGAGAAACATTGTTATAATCGGTTGAATTCAGGGCGCTGTATGGTGCATGAAATTTTCATTATGCGGACGTCTATTGGCTACGGCTGGTCAGGATAGTATAATACGGGTTTGGGTGCTGCGCAATCATTTATCATATTTCAATGCCTTACGTGATCGTTACAATTCACATTCTAAGAAAATTTCTATGACTGTAGGAGAAAATATGTTGCAAAATCCGATACAAGATATTGAAAATGATTTGCGTTCTTCTTCCACTACGGTAAATTTTTCAATGGTTCATAAACAAATAGTTTTAATTTTTTATAAAACTTGATAAGAAACTGTTACTTTTTTGGCAGTTTTTCTTATTAGTGTATATGGGAAGCTTTTGACTAATAGGCAACTGTACTAAAGAAACAAATACAACATATTTTTGACTATTTCACATTCACCATCACCACTTATTTAGATTTCTATGCTAATAACTTGGAAGATTTCCGTCTTCATGAAGTTCAGGCATATTAGTGAATCAATTTTTGTATATCGCTTTTGTACTTTAAAATTGTATCCTTTATTTTACCAGATTTGGCAACGTCAGGTTGTAGTGAAATTTTATGAAATCACAATTAAGACTAAAGTTGAGCATTATAATGGAAACTTCTGTGAGCAATTCCTATGACAAGAAAAATAGCTTTGCTCTCTCATTAATTCAATGCTAAATTTATTGTTATTAGTGTTTTGTAATGGTTTTATTACATTATTGAGAATAATGTTTTACTAAATGTTTGGAAGATGGAAGATGTTTCAGCTTGGCGAAAGCGCAGGATCATCCACATCACACGATGATGAAAGTAACTCCGTAACGACTGCTTTAATGGCATCAAAACCATTATGTACATATAGGAGTCATACAGCTGATGTATTGGATTTGTCATGGTCTCGTAATTACTTTATCCTGTCGTCCGGAATGGATCGTACAGTTAAATTGTGGCATCTTTCTCGTCCAGAATGTCTTTGTTGTTTTCAACATATGGATTTTGTTACATGCATTGCTTTCATGCCAAAGGTTTAAATTTTTGTTTTTAAATGGTATAGTATATTTAAAAACATCTTAAAAAATATTTTTGAAAATTGTCTTTATCTCACATATTAATGATTTTTATTTTTAAGGATGATCGATATTTTCTTTCTGGATCACTGGATGGTAAACTTCGTCTTTGGCACATACCGGACAAGAAAGTAGCCTTATGGAACGAAGTGGAGCAAGTAAAATTCATAACAGCTATCGCATTCGCCAAAAATGGGAAATTTGCTGTAGTGGGTACATACGATGGTCGTTGTTTTTTCTATACAACTGATCAACTCAAATATCACACTGTCATTGATGTCAGGTCAACTCGAGGCAAAAATGCCAGAGGGCATAAAGTGATTCATTTTTTATTTTTAATTTTTCAAATAATTTTGTAAATTTTTTCAACTTTAATAGAAGTAATTAGGTTAAATTCATTATTTTTCATATGTTTCCCTTGCATATATATCCACTACTGATCTTTTCAGGTGACAGGTCTAGCTGTTCATGGAGACAAATTATTGGTCACTTCAAATGATTCACGTATTCGCATGTATGACTTGCGAGATATGGCCCTTACTTGCAAATTTAAGGTAGATTTAAATGAATCTACCTTAAATGAAGCTATGATTTCCTCTTATTTTCTTATACATTCTTAATTTTTCGTTGTAGGGTGCTCAGAATGAGAGAAGTCAGATTCGAGCTTCTTTATCACCTGATGGTAAACATATTGTCTGTGGAAGTGAAGATCGTTTTATTTATATTTGGACAACTGCTGATTTACCATCCACATTATCTGTCCGCAAAGATCGAAACGATTCGTGGCAACGTTTGCGAGGTTAGATGTTTCTTATAAAGCTATTTGTAGGCATAATTGAAGTCCATAATTTACTAGTTTTTCATGTATATAAATGAGTTCTAATTGCAAATAGGTATATTATATTAAAAAAATATAGTTTTAATTAATGTAATGCTCACTAATATTTCATGTAATAAGAGAGCTGATATTTATATGAACTTATGATGCATTTATTATTCCACTAACTATTACTAATGAAATCATAGGTCACTCAGCATGTGTAACAGTGGCAATATTTGCACCTCGTCCACAGCTCTTTTTAAACCTTCTGGAGCAACGTCGTAGCGGTGATGATAGGAGTGAACAATCGAAACCTAGCAAAAATATATCAGATCGGCAAATTCACGGTGATGTCATTATTTCAGCGGATTTGAATGGTTCAATTCGTATTTTTGTGAATCGTACAAAGATCAAAGCTGGCTCGTCGAATTTTTTTCCCACTGATTAGTGCATTGAAATTCAGAGCTCTATCTTAATTTAGGTTTCAGTGCTCTTCAATTTTATCCTTTATACCTGGTCATTGGCGCATTTTTGATCTCTTTTGTGGGTTTTATATGATTCTATTTAAGCCTAATCATTCATTTATTGGTTGGCTATATGTTTATTCCCCATAATCGTACAATACCAAAACTGATTTTTAGCTAGAAAGAATGGTTCCTATTTACAGTTACATTCAGTAAAATAGAGTCCAGGTCATTTATATGAAGCTATCAATATATTCAGGATAGATTCATCTGTTTCATATATAACTAAGCATGATGACTCTTGTCAGTCTCATGTGTTCATAATTGCCATATATATATTGTTTTCTGTCTTTGTAGATAGTATTGTATTCGTTCTTTTTCACAGGTTGTTATATGTTTCCTATTTTCAGTTTTTTTTTTTTTATATATATATTCAAATGTATATGTATGCAATCATTAAAAAGGCATTTAACCGTTGTTGCCTGTCTAAGTAAGCTATGATAAGGAATGATGCATTTAAATGGTTTTGCGAATTTTTTTTTACTTCAGTTTTATATTCTCTCGGAATTGAATTTTTCTACCAAAAAATATCAACATTTTTATATATCAACAGGAAAAAAAAAAGTATTTATAAAAAAAAATATCAACATTTTTATATATCAACAGGAAAAAAAAAAAAGTATTTATAAAGTTCATGATTTTATTAAGTAAAAATTCATTTCATCTAATTTATCTTTTACTGTTGACCCAAACATTTTGGCCTTTGGTAGTTGCCTCTATGTCTACTTTTCTTTTTTTTTTTCAAAGACATAAATTCTAAAGCTATTTTGCTTAATATTGCATTACTTTCATAAATAGTCATTCTGATTACGAGTATCCAGTGTGATCGTGCCTTATTGAAATAAAGTAATACATAAAAATTTTATGATATTCTTTTTTGGTTACTTCCTGAAATATTTCTAATTTTATTTTTTTTTTTTCAACACTGAAATAATTAGCTCAAGTTTTTATGCTTGTTTTTACATAAATAATGGTTTTGTATTGATATGATTCCTTTTCCACGTCTATGAAAAGAATGTTCAGTTTTCTTTATCATGATACTCTAACTTCTACGGCCGCAAATTTGGATCTGATAATATTCGACGAGCTTTCCTAAGTACTATGAGCACTACATCAACCTATTTTTCTTTATTAAACTATGACAGATTTTAAAAATATTTTCGCTAAAAAGTAATTAATGCAATTTACTTACTGAACATCTGGAAAATTGCAGAAGAAATTGCATTTGTGCATTAGAATTTTGATAATAATTATGTCATTTAATTAACTCATAAATAATTGCAGCTTCTTGTTGATGCTACCTTCGCGATTGTTCACGTCTGTGCTTTCAAAGTTGAATTCATCATGGTACCGAGTAATTGATTCTACGCGCTATTTGACAAGTTCTAAGGAAGTTGATACGGCTGAAACAGTTCCTTCTGCATTGGATGCTAATGATAGTTCAACTGTTGAAAGTGATCTATCAGATGCAGTTATGGACACTGTTAGTAAGGAACGGCTTGCCTTACCTTACAGTCAAAAAGCATTGGAAACATTAAAGTAAAAATTGCTAAAATTTGCTATAGTGTATTGAATTTTTACTTCAGTTAGTATTAGATATTGTAAGGAATTTACTAGAATGAAATTTTGCATTAGTTTTATTTATGAAAAGATCTAAACTGTTGTATGAAAGGAATATATTGGAAGTAAAAATGATTTTAATTAAATTTCTGTGATTACTAAATGAGAAGATTAAATGTAGTTAATCAGTACGAGTTTCATTTTTTTTTTTTTTTTTTTTTTACAGATTAGACAAATATCCGTACTATGTGGAACGTGAATGGTGGAAAGATGGTAATAGGATGACATTTTGGTCAACATGGCGAATGAAACGAGATGTCAAAAGGCGACATTTGCTTGCTGAACTTGGCCCAGATCGTGTTCGATTGAAGGCACTGAAATCTAATATTATATTACCGGAATTGATTAGAGATGAATGTGCAAAAAAGTTGCACAATTTACCCAAGGGATCATGTCCAAATCTTGTTCAGCATTTATGTCAGTTTAGTGGTGCACGACGTGGTAAACTGAATAGATTTCATCTTCATCGACAGATTTTCAGGTATTCATTTCATAAATGTTATAAATATTAATGCTTCATTTCATTCTCAATTCAAGACAATCAGCTTTTTTCATTTGAAGCGGAAATTAGATTTTTGTTTTTGAGGTTATTAAATGTTTTAGTCATAAATTAAATTAAAATTTGATTTTGTAACAAATTAATGAACTAATCAATGATAGAATAAGAGGAATATTTTAGTAACTGATATCATAAGTATAAGTATATTGAACTTACAGTATAATGATTGTACACTTTTAGAGGTAATATTTGCTATTATTTCAGGCGTCTTGCTGATCATGGTCAATTATCTGGTGTGCAACGAGGAGTTTGGTGATGAATATATTGTAGATTGCTTTGATGTCATTTATTTTCTTAAATAAAAATGAATTTTTTGTTTCCTTCATGTGCGTTCGGTTTCTAAAGCTTCCAGAACAGATTTTTTCTTTCTTTTTTTTTGGGCAGTGCAAGCATTCATAATTTTTGATATATTTCATGCATAATTTCACATATTTCTTACCAATTTGTTCGGTTTTTTCTTTTCTTTTCTTTTTTGTCGCTTCCGCTTCAAAGAGTTGTAGCATTAACAAAAATGGTTTACAGGTTCTTAGGCATGGCTTATATTTATACAATTTTGGCGATACTATCTTTGATACAAGGTAATTATATTTCATTTTAATATCGGATTTGTGTCTTTTCATCACATTTGTTTATATCATTGTAAAAATTATTCTTATCCATTTTTCAGGTGATTTTTTGTTTCAGAATCATTATGTGCCGAATTGTATTTCTTAGCTTCTAAGCAAGTTGAACTTTCGGAACCTACTGCAGCTTTTTTATCCAAAGCTGATGTTACGCAAGCGAACAAATACATGCTAGGAATGACAGCTGAAACTCCTCTAACATGGGCAATTGAGGGTGATATTTTCAGAAGACCACGAGCATTAGCAGTAGGTTAGTGTTTTTCATCTAGTAAACAAAAAAAATTTTTTTTTTTGACGATCTGACATTAACTTGAAGAAATTCTTTTACTTTTAGTTACTGTCATTAATGGAAAAGCTCTGAGCAACTTACCACCATCCAAATATGCTGTATCGGCAGATGGCGAAGATTTCAATCATGAAGAATTGGTTAACAATAAAGTATTTCGTGATGAAGGACAAGAATGGATTGTGATGCAGAACGCAATGCTGGAAGGTTCACAAATTGCTTCTGATGCTCACAATACTTTGTTAGGGATTCAAGTCAAGACGAAAAGCAAGCCACTACGACAAGAAATTGAAAATCTTTATAAAATTGCAGAATCGGTAATATATCTAAGATTGTTAACCTTTATTTCACATTCATAAGAAAAAAAATAAAATATTGTTAAGGCAAGAATATTATAAGTTATATTTAAAAAAAAAATTAACTATTCTAATGACTTTAACCTAGGATATTTTACTCTCCATTTATGACAAACATTTATGTTAAGCAAATGATGAATAATGTAAATAAGATATAGTTTAGATAATTAGTTTTTGATACGTATCAAATTTAGTTGTATGACTTTGATTAATATTTTATCTGAAACATTTCATAGTTCCGACAGTTTTAGATAAGTAAATCGAAAGTTGCTCGTACTAGAAATACCCCAACAATTTTTATTATCAACGTGAATGGTTTGCCAGCTGCTGAGAAGGAATTATCCAAAAGCGAATATAAACTAGCTCTTGACGAGCTGGAAAGCGCAATTCAACATTTAATTTCTGTACTGCGGAATACATACAATGATCGTGTAATTGCGGAGCTCATTACGGAATCAAAATCTGAAATCAAAAAGAGACAAAAAAGACAGGAAGATGTTAGTCATATAATCCATTTTTCTCTAAATAAAATTTGGCTCATTTCGATATTGTGATCAACGTTAATATAAGAGAAGGAAGAAGATATTTGCAAATATTTTTCTTTCATAGATCATAACAAATGGAAATTTCCATGATTACAGAAAGATAATTCTCCTCGGAAATTTGATTAACAGAAGTAGGCAACATTTTGCTATCTTTTTGATTGTTAAAGCCTACTTATCCATTTCCAGGACGGTGTAGTTCGTTTATGAAAGGAAAAACGGACTAAAAATTAGCAAAAAATTTTCCACCTTATTATTATTATTTTTTTTGCAAATGAATTCGTTTTCAGAGTCCTAAAAGTCCATCTGAGCGGATAATGAAGTTACGAAAGGAACTAAACGTTTATCAGGTTTCTATCTACACTTGTTTCTTATGAGATATCTTGCTTTCTTTCTTGTTGCTTTTATTCTTCATCTTTTTCTCTTTTTTTTCTTTTCTGAACTAGGCTATTTTGAAATAAATTTGATCAGCCATTAATTACAAAATCATGCATTTAATTTTTATATTTATTTATAATTCCTAAGGATTTTTTGTTGGTAATTAAGTGATTTAGCGTGTGAATATAGTAAAGAATGTCTAATTTTGTTTAAATTTTGGATACATTGCAATATAGTTGTCTTAATGATATAATTTTTCAAAATATTTCAATGATTTATATTTTAGATCTTGCTTATTTTGCTTTTAATTTTTAATAAATTTTCAGTTTTCATCTGGCAATTATCCGGCTACCTTTGGCATATTTCTACTCGTAAGTGTTGCACTTTTTTTAATTGTTCTCTTTGTAACTGTTGGTTTGTGGAATATGGATCCAGGTAAAGATTCAATTATTTATCGCATGGTAACAACTCGGATGAAGAAAGATTAGTTATATGGTAGCTTTTTGTTTAGTAGTAATTAATTTGCTTTTAATTAATTTGTATAAAAGACTAATTCTTCCTCAGATGAGCTAAGATAGCTTTGTTAATTAGACTTTTAGTTATTACTCTTCATTCCATATTTTATTGAGAGCTGTCATATTGTTCTGAAATATGTCATTTGACAGAACACTGAACAAAGCCATTATACTCAAAATAATGAGTCATCTTTTTCTTTAGTCTTATTTTCTTGCAAATCTTTGAAAATTTAGAGAAGTATTAAATATTTTATTTGTCATTGTTAACTCTTCTGTATTCTGCACATTGTATATTTATTTGCTGCAGCTGTGTAGACAATCAAACTTTTTTTTTTTAATCGAGATTTAGCGTTGTGAATGTTGAAAGTTGTGAATTTTGTAAATGTATTTCTTTTAATATTTCTTTCACTTAAAAAAATTCTGTTCGTCCATATTCAAACTTTGATTAAAATATTTTAAAAGATATTTGGATTTGGTCTATGATTAATTTAGAAATTTTTTTTTTAATGTTTTGCTTAAAATATTTGTGTGAAAATGAAACATCGAAATGTTGTCACATTAATAAACTTTATTGATTGATATTAAAAGTTGAGTTAAGTTAAGGAACACATACATAGCATCGTACTATCTTTTTACTTTTTTTTTACTTCAACGGTTTTTATATTCTAATCATTTTATTTTTATTCACATTTTACAACAATTATAATATTAATAAGTTGAAAAGTTCATTTCGCTGTAATACTGTAGTAAATTAAATAGAAAAACAAACATTTGTATAAAGTTATAATGAAAAGTTAATAGAAAATTATCACAGAAGGCACAAGCATATTGTAAAAATACGTTATGATGATCTACCATAGTTTTTTAGATATTATTTGTGCTTCAATAATTTTTTTTTTTTTAAATGAAATCATTTACTGTAATTGAAATTTGAATAAGTTACTTTTTTTTTTCGATATAAGTTAAGATTTAAAATTTTGAAGTCTAAATTTTTGCGACTGAGCTTTACGGATGTTCAGAAATTAAGGAAAAAAAAAAGGGAAAGACTTCCGGAATTTCTTTTTAGCTTCATTTCTTGGCATTCAATAAAATTTGAAAAGCTTCCCTCTTAGGTTATCTTTGAAATATTCACCAATGACTTGAAAAATTATCATTCATTTGTAGTGTTGAGGATAGTGTGATTTAATCAATTTGTCATCTTTATTAAATTTTATTCAATAAATTAAGAAGTTTGAATTTGACTTTAAATATTGAAATATAAGTGATATAATTTAAAGAGAAAGGTAATTTGCTTAATTTTTATTAAAAATTAATATTTGGCACAAAAAATTTATCTGTTTATCTCTAAAGTCTTTCACAGTAAAGTGATGTTTCACTTCGTGAACGCCAATTTATATTTGACGAGTAGTACGGTGTCAAAGGTGAGGTTGACAATTGTTGTGTGAAATGACCTAATCGTTTATGTCCTGGTCCACCACGATTTTCTCGTTCTTTACGGAAGTATACTGGATTACGTAATCGATCCAAATCACTTAAATCCAGAAGACTTCGACCTTTTTCTTTTCGAAAGTTCTTAAAAATAAATTATTAAGAAAAAAAAAAGAAAAGTTAAATTAATCATTAAATAATATTTTATGGAATAATTTAGAATAAATTTTTGTGAAATTTATTGATAAATCAATCAATAAATTAGTGATTCTACACATACTTTCTTGTTAGAGTATAACTTAGAGTATACACATGAAATACGTTTATAATTACTTAGCTATTTAAGGAGCATAATTTTCAAATTTGTATAATACGTCAAATACGTACAATACGTCAAATACGTTTTCAAAAAGAAAACTCAAATTATTTTGCTTAATCTTTTCACATAAAATACAACAAAAATTTGATTCTGATTCTATTTATAACATTATCTAGTTGATATTTCAGTTATAAATTAAAATTTCAAAAATAAATTTCGATGCATAATAGCAACAGTATTCAGAATATTTCTCATCAATTTTATAATTTATAATTAAATTATTTGTTATTATAAAATTAAATTTTCTAATAAAAAAGAATATAAAATAAATTCAAACTTCCGATTCATAATTTGTAGCATTTCTTGATGATAAATATACATTTGGTTCTCGATTAATTTTCTTATAAGCACCACCACGTGATCTAAATATCAATTTTATTTTAAATTCATTCAAAAATTAATTCAAAACTATTATTTTCTTTTCTTTTTTTTTTTGACTTAAATTAAAATTTAAAAAACGAAAAAATTATTTTTTAAAACTTTAAAAAAAAACGATTTAAAAACGAGAAAATTTAAAAACAAAAAAAAGAAAAAGCTAACCTTAATTGTCGATTCCAATAAGCAGAGCTAACTGCAGAATAATGAGATGAGGAGCCTGAACTAGTTGATGAAACAGTGCGCAAATTGCAATTTGTATCGGCGCTACTGGTCGCTGAATAGCCATCACAATGATTTATGCTATGATGTTCAGCACTTGTTGTTGGTGATGGTGTATTCGAGACTAAAATTATAATATTAATTTTAAAATTTGATTTTAAAAATTAAAACAAAAAAAAAAAACTAATTTAAATATATTTATTAGATTATTTGTAGAATATTTTATCATTAATTCATTTATTAATTACTTTTTATTATTTGATTATAATATTAAATTATAGCAAAAATTTTTGATTGACTTTGATAAAAAAAAATATACCTAAATTACCTGAATTACTGGGAAATAATATTTGGATCATTTCTAGCGCTGTTAGATTTATTACAGCAAACCATAAAGCTGATGAAAGTGGATTTGTTGGCTTATTAATCTAAAAAATATTTTATTATTTGTAATTTAATAATAATAATAATAATAATTCAAATTTATATATGTCAGAAATTATCATAGCAATTATAGGTAATTTGTGAATTGATATTAATTAATGTCTTTTTTTTTACTAAATTACCCGAATTAATATTGTAAATTGATATTAATTAATGTCTTTTTTTATCTAAATTACCTGAATTAATACTAAAAAAAGGAAAATACTAAAAAAAGTTTACCCGAACTAACACTGCATTTACCTGAAGTTACCTGAACTAATGCTAAAAAGAGGAAAGAAATTAATACTAAAGTATTTGAAATATTGATATTATTATTATTGTGATTTTAAATAGTCATAAATTAAATTATAATTAATACTAAAGCATTTAAAATATTGATATTACTAATATGATTTTATTTAAATCATTCATAAATTTAATTATAATTAATACTAAAGCATTTGAAATATTGATATTACTAATGTAATTTTATTCAAAGTATTATAAATTTAATTATAATTAATACTAAAGCATTTGAAATATTGATATTACTAATATGATTTTATTTAAATCATTCATAAATTTAATTATAATTAATACTAAAGCATTTGAAATATTGATATTACTAATGTAATTTTATTCAAAGTATTATAAATTTAATTATAATTAATACTAAAGCATTTGAAATATTGATATTATCATTATGATTTTAAATATTCATAAATTAAATTATAATTAAAAAATCATATAAATTTTAATAAAAATATATCAAACGTGTGCGTAAGTGATTGCCATTCGACTGTAACGATCACGTGCAATTTCATCAAAATCATTATTACGTGAAACAATTTCTTTGAGAATTTTTAAATCAAAAATCTGAAAATAATTTCATCACAAAATTGATAATTAAATATTAAATGTATATTTTTTAGCAATTTTTAAACTTTTCTTACAGCATTGATGATTTTTGAATAAAATTGTTAAAATTGTAAATATATCCAAAATTTAAACTCTGTTCCAAACAATTAATAATTAATAATACTTAAATTAAAAGTTATTGATAAAATATATGATAACGCCTTAATCATATAATTTTATCTATTCTCGAAAAAAATCAATATCAGATCAAATATTATCATCAGATCAGATCAAAAAAATTTTTTTGTCTTACTTTAATTGGATCATTCTTAACAATAATTTCTCCAAGTATTCCACTAACAAATACACTTCCTTCGATACATTTAAGCCAAACATTACCAATATCATCAATTTTCATTTTTACACCCTGAAAAAAAAAAAAAACGAAAAATTAAAATTAATTAAAAAAATTTGAAAAAAAGTTTTACTTTTTAAAAAATTTAAAAATTATTATTAGAAACTAACCCATAGCAAATTTCAAATTTATCATTAAAAAATTAATTCGCAGCAGATTTTTTTAAAATGATTATTATAATTTTCAAAATAAAAGTTAACATTTTTATAATTTTTCTTCCAACCAATTTATAAAAAAAAAAAAAAAAATTTATGAAAATTTGTATGAAAATAAACAAATTTATAATTAAATAATCTTTAAAGTATAATATTATTGTAATTGTATTAGTAATATCTGTTAAAAAATTCTTCAATTAGTTTTTAGAAATTTGTAACAAACGAATTTTAATAAATTTGAAGAGAAAGTTTAAATGAAACTATTTTTTTTTCTATCATTCAAAAATTCAAAAAATGTTTTTATTATTTATTACAAAAAAAACTATTTATTTTAGATTAATCATAATAATAATAATAACATTAACACTTTCATCTAGTAAAATAATTAAAAGATTAAATTTTTGAAATAAATTTTAATCAAATTCATGTGAGAAATCATTAGTGAAATATTTCAAAAAATTTTTAATGATAATAAAATTTAAAAAAAAACTTTAATCATTTTATTATCACAAATATTTTTATTAATTAATAAAATACTTTAAAAATAGAAAGTAATAAAAATTTGAAAATTTTCATACTTTTCCAAAAGTTTCAAATGCTCTAATTGTGCCATCATCACGATATGAATTGTCAAATCGTTGTAAACCAATGCTATAAAAGGAAAGAAAAGAAAAATATTAATAAAAATTTAATTTAACTTTTTTTTTTATAAACGAAA